GGGTGCTTTTTGCTAAGCTTTGGCCGATTAGATCATTGGGATCGTAAATGATGAGCTTGACAAATATTGGGTACTGTTTGATCTAAAATGCCGCACTTTACGACGCGTTTAGAACATATGTAAATAAATTAATAACTAAACTGTATATTCCTCGAAGACTCGAGTAGCTGTTCCCTAAAAGGATCAGAGCAGAAAGTTGTTCCATTATTTGCATGCTATTGCATTAATAATATACAAAAATAAACATAGGCACAAACTTCAAATTAAGTATCATAAAGTAATCAAAATCGTCCTGTTGCTTTGTCGCTGAATCAGGGTTCTACATAATTAGATGAAAGATTTTTTCGGTCGGGAAAAAGATAGAATAAAATGTAAGGGGTTATAGTAGAAAATTTTATATGTATGTTGTTCGTAAGTTAGTCAGGAGTTATTGATACCGTTCTCGAGGGTATTATCCAGGGATTGCGATATCTCGGATATTATTTGCGTTTTGGATGGTTGGCTGCCTATTGATCGCAACTTAAATTGACACAGTGTGGAACATGTCCTGATTTCCTTTGGAACTTTTTTTCAAATCTTTGAGTAGTGGACTAGATAAAAGTTCTGTAATTCCAATAGTAAATTTTGTTGTTTTGACCTTATCTCTTTGTTACGGATTGGATATCTACTGTTTAAAGACATGTGAACGACATTATTAAGGCTGTGCATTTGACGGTTTATTATTCTGTAAAGAGAGCGGGTTCGGCTTCATTCTTCGAAGGCAGAACCTTTTTCGGATGTCATCTTTGAGGAGTAGCCGCATAGCTTTTCTGTGAAGCGTCGCTGAACCCTCTCAAGAGCATAATGGTCAGATTTTTGCAGATTCGATTGGAACCAATGATCAATATTCCGTACAATATCAAATGCAAGGTTCCGTGAGATAAAAATGATGGCATGTGTGTCTGATGGCTTTGATGGTCTTCGGAACGTGGAAGTCACAATCTACAAAAAAGACAAAAATTGTCGCGCTTCAAGTCGTAAACTGCCCTGCATTGCGAGATGTAGGTACCTTGCAGTAATAGACTGTTTGGCTCTACTTGGCATTGCACGGCGGAATATCACCCTTGACCACGTCAAATGACATCTGCCACAGTTGGCACCAAACTTCAAGTGCAGCTAGGTCATCATGAATGAGGTGCACGGCGGCCGGGGTATCTGCACGTTTTTGTGAGTAGACAACATTAAAGTTATCAAGAAATAGCAAAGTAGAAGCAGGTGTTATTCTCTGGAAGACATCGTTAACATATATGAGAAAAAGAAATGGACCAAAAATACTCACTTAAATTACTCCACCGGTGACTGCTTTCGGTTTCGAGAAATGGTCACCGATGCGCATCACCTGTTGTTTACCAATTAGATATGAAGATAGCCAAGAAAATACCGGCTCTCCAATACCTATGGCCTACAATTTGTTGGCTAACCTTTAATGCTGCATGCTATCAAAGGGTTTTTGCATATCTAGGAACAAGCTTAGAACAATGTTTTCAATGTCTATGGCAGCCATAGTGTGGTTTAAGAAATCTGTCTAGCATGTTATGCAGGATAGACCTTGCATAAAGCCACGCTGTCAATTGCTGATGAGTTTAGTCTTGATGAAAAACGTAAGTTATTCATCTTTCACTTTTCTCCCCATTATTCCAGATACGATGGGTGCGGTATAGATGGGACGAAATTTTTAAACCTCTTGAGCGGCTTCGTTTTTATGTCTCGTGATAACGACAGAAGTTATCCATTGAGTAGGATATACTCCGTTGTTAAAAGATAGTGTAATGATGTTGAGCAAAATCAGAGGCAAGTCGCTCCCACTTCTTTTTGGTAAACAGAGAGAGATTCTATCAAGCACTGCGCAAGTCGAGGGGCATAATCGAGAGTCTTGACCAGCGATTTCGCAATAGTGAATTCCACTGGGCACAGAATCACCGTGGTGCAGCATGATAAATATTGGTGCGACTGATGATTCATTAACCGTTACTTTGGCTAAATAAACGCTAAAAGCTTCACAAATATTACCTAATTCATCGAATTATGCTCTATCAGGCATGGTGATAAAAATAAAAGTGTTGCTACGGCGTGAAACCCGGGCAGGGACTAGCGTAGAGAGTTCCGTTGTTTTGCCAGGCCATTCAAAGTTTATACTGTTTTAGGATGAGAGTTCTGTTAATTGATACATCAGTTCTTCGATGTTCTTGTACTTCTGGAATCTCATGAAGCTTGCTTACTACCTTAAATATTTTGTGCTTGCATTTGTATTTAATTTGGCGAGCACAGCGTCACAGCTGGATCCATGCAAATATACTATAAAAACAAGTCCGTTGCTTGTTGAGGAGACGAAGGGAGAAAAAAGTTGTCCCATTTTATTGAACGAACCAGGTTGTTGAGTGAGCCCTAGTTGACGGAAGCGAACAAACCACGTGGTACCATCAGGTCGACATAGCAGACATCCAAATCGGAGCCCTAAGGATGTTATGCGAAATTTGTACTGCTGTAGCCGTTGAGTCGAGACGGGCAACGTTTTTCACATGGTTCCCTCCACTGAAAATTGCTGTCCACATTGAGACTGTACGCCGTATTTGTGAACTCAACGAGCGCTTCAATGACCTTCCAATTAGTAAACAACCGTTATGACAAGGGCGGTCGGCCGTTACACAGCGGTTAAAAAGGAACAGGTTTAGAATAAGGCCCCAATAGTCCTGGGGTTCGATAGTTGTAATGTTCGTCTGGAGACGCCAATTAAGTCCGAAAGCTGCCTTGGATTGCAGCGTTTTCTGACGAGTGAAACCCAATAATTGTCCTTGGGATTTTGTCTGTTATTTTGTTGGAGAAAGTGTAATTTTTTCGTCTGTCTTAACTAGTTCTAATGCTGCACAATATCTGAGGTAATTCGCAGTCCAGCTTGCCGTGTTGGCGCCGGCAACTATATCATTTCATATTCTGCATTAAGCATCTTGGAGTTTTGCTCAACACCCTATATATATATATATATATATATATATATATATATATATATATATATATATATATATATATATATATATATATATATATATATATATATATATATATATATATATATATATATATATATATATATATATATATATATATATATATATATATATATATATATATATACAAGCTCTTGATTGCAGGTCATGGGAATCGAAGGCGGCATGGCGAGATCTGATCACGGAGGCAGTTACCGAGGTGCAGGAGAAAGACCTCATGCATGCGGAGGAGAAGCGGCATGTGCCGATGGGTTGTACTCGATCGACATCGAGCGCAAGGTACTCTAACACATGAGGTCGCGAGTGCCTGAGTCAGGCACGTCTAGTGAGCCATGAGCGAGGCCACTCGAAGTCAACACCGAAACGACGACGGGTGCTGCTGAGAAAGGAGACAGAACCGGCGCAACGTTTGTAGGCACGCTGCATTCCATTTACTAACCTTTTGCTTGCATGATGGATCTCTTTAGTTCAGGTACTACGTTTGTTACGTTGTCTCCTTATTTTCTACCTGCACCCTTTTCTATTTATTAACTTGCACATGTCGCCTTAGGTAGTTGTACTAAACTTTTATAACATTTTCGAGTTTGGAACATTTTCTTAAAATATATTTCTGACCTATTAAATATTTAGCGGATTTTTAGCAACCAATTTATTTCATATGCTCAGATGTTGTGCCGCATGTTGAGGTTGATGTTGTATTCGTGATGCTTACCCTCCGTATTTGGGCTAAACCAACTTGCATTTAAACTAGGGCACGCTAAACTGGATAAATTTTACTCTACTTTAAGTGGTTTATTCCGTGTACCTGAATAATCTTCTATTACCTAGAACACGTCGTTTACGCTAACTGCGCTTACATTCGTTCGCTTTATTGAGTTTGTAGCGTTTTTCGAGTAACTTGTGAACGTTTTGTACTTGTCGCTTATTCGTTGATAACCAACTTACTTCATTTGCGCATTTAGCGAAAAGGTATGTCAGCATAGCCGTATGCTTTAACATATATACTTTATTTGATAATGTTATATCAAGTTGTTGGCTGTTGCTTGATATCTCCGGTGTGGCTGCGCTTGATATGCATGTTGACAAGGTGCCTACCTGTCTAGTACCCACTATCTTGTCCACACTGGCTCTAAGGGAGGGTTGGTCGTTGCTGGAGTGGACAGGGTGCACGGTCCTTGTGGCCGTGATACGCTCAAAGTGTGGTTCCATGCACTCAGTGTAGAGCGGACTACAGTCCAGCCACCGTCTTGTGTGTGCGTTCTTGTGTTTGCCTGTGAAGGAGTGTGGGTCGGCACCGTTGATGAAACGTGGCTCCCATCCGCATGCCTCCCGGTATTATTCCTTCGGGTTTACATTGGATATGGGGTGTTCGGATGGAAGTGTGAGTGGCGCAGCGCAAGCCACCCATGGTCCCTCTGTAGCCCTAGTCGCACTGTAGCTGTGCTCGTGGAGAACGCAGTGACAAGCAAATCTGGAACCGGATGCCACCAACTATATAACGTGCCTTGTCACGTTGCCAGCTGAATTCGAATAACAATTCCCATAAAGCTTAATTGCTGTTAATCTATATGGTGTTCATTAGGTCACCAAATTGATCATAATTGTGCTTGCAGCCAGGAAGTTCTCATCTGAGGTATTAGGGCAGCTACTATGTCAGCCCTTGCTGGTTATAAGTACAATGAAAATTTCCTGCTGGAATTATTCATTAGCCCGCGCTTTTCTATTTACAAATCTAAGCTAACCATCGGGTAATATAACATAATTCTCTGGCTTGTCTCAGCCTTTGTTCATACTTAATGTAACCAGACTACGTGTTGGTTATGTGCTTATTTGATGCATGCTCTTCCTTTCCGTTCTAGCAAAAATATCTTGTTGCTCTGATATCCAGTACCACTTCTGGCTAACCTGATTTAGAATATGTGCCCCCTGACAATGGAACACCAACAAATCCGTTGACCATAAAAAACAAGTTGTAGTGCAAGTATTGAGAGTTTACCAGTTTGGGCATACTGGGTCAAGCGGACATGTAAGATGAAGGCATTGGTTTAATTTAAGCGGAACGTTCGAGGTAGTTGAACCTTGACTTCAGTCTTCATCCGCATCATCGTGAAGGACAGGCACCCCTGTAGATCAAAATAGAGTATTTGCAGTATTTTGTTAGCTGTCTGTTAGTAATCATAATTTGGTTAGTCAAGTTTGAGACTGCATGTAATTGCTAAAACGGAGCTGCTACCCGTGCCTTTGTTTACAGAGGAGGATTAGATAATCGAAATGAAGAAACGCACTATGTTGCACACAACTGTTGTAACTCAATGTGATGTCCCTAAATATGATACATGATATAGTTTTACGTCACTTGTGATGCATAAAAAGATAAAAATGGTAACGTCCTTGTAAATAATTAAGAAGGAGGATTATTAGGTGGTAGCTGAGAAAGATATGATGGTCTATTGGAGCTGTCAGCGCAGCTGGACGGCAAGAAGATCCATTTAGCGCTTGCTCATTCAAAGAAATTAGGGTAAACAAGAAAAAATGGTGCGATTACCTAAATAAGAAATGAAATATGATAATTCAAACTTATCACCAACTGACTTAACTTATCAGTAGTTAACGTTAATAAAATCGCACACCAAGTCAGTCTGAGTGACCAAATGGTTTGTATCTGGCCGTCCAACTGATACATCATCATTATACACGATAGCTAGAGGTGGGAAAATCTCAGCTACTGTGCCGCAATCCCTGAAAGAAAAAAGGGAATAAAATGCAACACGTGCAAGCCAGCTGAGCTACCGTTAACGGATGGGCATCGTTCCGGTAAGCCACCAGCCGGCTACTACGAGGCGGAAGAAATAATTTACTATGTAAAATAATAAAAGGCTAAATAGGGAAATCGTGATTGGAAGGGGAGGCTAAGAGGGATAGGGCGGGACAAAGAAACTCACAGCACGAACGCCACTGAGATCGGCTCCTAGCCATGTCACAAGTACATCTAGCCAAACGTGTTCATCGTTTTCGGTCCCCAACCAGGGAGCCGTGAAGCTCCTACCGAGGCCAGCTCCGAAGTGAGGGCCTTCATTCCCCTGGACCGATTCATCGCTTGGCCACCCCTCCTCTTCTTCCATAAACATCCACGGTGAGCAAACAACGCATGTCGCGGGAGTCGGTGGGCTGGCATGCGCAACACGTGGTCTAGCCATCGGAGCCTGGTGCGTGAAATGACGGTGCTGAGCGGTTCAGTTCCTTTTCCTGTGCCTTAAACAAGGCGTTGAACACGCTCGTTACTTACTCGGTTTTCCCACCAGATGTGAGCTAGATTGCGGAGGCACCGGTGGTCGAACGTAACTAGCCTGTATATGTCCGCTGATCTAAGGGGTCAGGTTTAGCAACCGTACAGTAAAGTTGAAAGCACCGCTGAATTGTACACTCTACCCTTCAGTGCGAGAGTAATGTCACGCCAGTATCATAAGTGGCGCCTCGAGCTTTTGCTATATCTTTCGTGATCTCATCTTCAATCCTACGGATGCTGCTACAATTTCCCAGGTAGCTGAATTTTTGAACGACTTCTAGCTGATCCCCACCAAGGGTCAGCGCAGGATTAGACCCCTGCCAATCTTTGAGGAACGCTTTGTACTTCAATGGTGTAAAGCAAAGCCCGAAGTGACAGACAGCCAGTGCTAATCTATCCAATGCCGCTTGGCATGGTTGTGAAATGTCACAGATGACAGCAATATCATCATCATACACCAAGTTAATAATTAGTTCTCCTGGGAGCAGATCCACACCTTCTAAGTAGTGTCCTGTAAACGCTATTTCCACGATTTCGTCCAATAACGAAGTTGAAGAGGAAGGGTGACAGTGGGCATCCTTGCCTTACACCGCTAGAGTTATTAAAAGGGGACAACAGCTTGCCTGAACTACGCGTTTATAATGCGCAAATAATATGGTTGTGGAATTCCGATCGTGAGCCTTCCTTGGTAACTGGGACTATGACGGAGTGGCTCCAGTTGGTTGGGACAACTTCCTGCTCTTATATTTTTCAATAGTGACTCGTATATCATCCACAACAGCAGGTCCCCTGAATTTAAAGAGGGCTGGATGGGGATCATCTGGTCCCGCGGCTTTGTTCAACTTTAACATTCCGATCTCACCTTCGCCTTCTGAGCGAGAGGGTGGACCCAAAGGGACAGCCCAGGGAGCAGGGCGATCACTGGCCGGCGAGAAATCTAACAAGTCCGACCGATTAAATTGCTTTTCAAAATGCTCAGCCCAACGCTCAAGTTGTGGATGGGCTGTCCATTCTCACCACAAATTATTTCACTAACACCAGGTCTCCTGCTTCCCGTTTCCCATAACAGACGGAATAACTTTCGTTGGTTACCAAAGACAGCGGACATTTCCATCTCTGAAGCACAATGAGACCACCAAAATTCGTGGTCTCTCTTTAGGCTAGCACAGAGTCTTGCCCGGAGCTCTTTGCGAATTTCATTGTATTCGCTTCTAGTCGGAATGTGCCGGCGAGCATCGATAAGTTCCAAAGACGGCGAAGAGACTTAATGTTCATGTTGGCGATTAGACATACCACCTGAGGATTTTCCTGCTGCTAGTAAGGTCTGGTGAATATGAGAACAGTAAACTTCGATTGCATTCAGTGAGCGTTTACTTTACTCGTATGTCAGCGTACTTTGATACGCATTCAGAACAGGAGACTTCGTCAGTAGGCTGGTGTCAATGCACTCACAGCGTCGTTGTAAGCGTCCTTTAAAACGCACCCGCATGTCAGTACATACCAGTGCATGGTCGGTGTCCACACATGTGCTCCAAATCGAGCGACAGTTCTGGATGCAGCGTCTCCAGCGGTAACTGATCGCAATGTGATCCATTTGCGTCCATAGCTGGTTCGAGGCTGGTGGACGCCAAGTCACCCTCCGGCGGGTGCTGTGCCAGAAGTTAGTGATCGCAAGAAATAAGCGAGCATCTTCACACAAATGAAATAACCGCTCATCATTATCATTACGGGAGCCTACATTGTGCTGACCGCCCAGATGCATTTCATCAGTGGACCACTTTCCAACTTGTGCGTTCAGATCCCCCGCCAGCACAACAGTGTCCGTGCTTCTTCTGTGGAGAGGGAGCTGGGTCAGTTGGCGATGGAAGCCGCCTTTTACCAAACCATCGCTACAGTTTGTGGGCGCGTAGGCAGCGATGATGAATAGACACCTATTAGTCCCGCGCGACTTCGAAGCTTTGAACGAGCCAGCCAATTGGACCGCACACATCCGGCTACTGATTGGAATCCAAGCAACCAGAGTAGCTTCAGCTAGGGGACTCAGGACAATGTCAACACTAGCTTGGCCAGTGTTCGAGGCTGCATCGTCAATGGATAGGCGCCATGAGAATGCGATGCTGGCGTCACTTGTAGGGGATCGCAGAGTGAGCACAGAGCTCGAGTCTTGCAGGCTGGTCTCTGATAAGCAGCAGATATCGATCGAGAGGGTCTCCAAGGTTCGGGAAAGTGCTGCCTGTTGACCGATCTGTAGTAATGTGCGTACATTGAGGCATGCCAATCTGAAGCAGAATCCAGGGCTCCAGATGGAAGCCGATGAACTGGAATGGACCGCTTGATTGGACATGGGCCTGTTGACAGAAGAGGAGTGACGCTCCGCGTTCACATGTGTGTTAAAATTAGAAGATAAATGCCTAGCAAAGCTGTTAGGTGAGGGCCAAGAATCGGGGGTTTAAAACTGGGGGGATAAAAGTGAAGTTGGAACGGGAAGATAAGGGTGAAAAAGCGTAAGAGGGGAATAAGAAGACGGCAAAGCTCGAGCAGTAACATCCAAACCCCCTCCACTCTGCTCGATGCAGCAGATAGGGCACCGTTGATTATCCTCCGCGGTGGCCAGGACATCAGAAATTTGTTTGAAGTGAGATTCATTGCATTGCGTGGGCAGGATACCGTCAGGTTGCCCACGCCTAGACAGGAGAACGATTAGGGTTCCCAACCAAAGCCTTTGGTTCAAAAAATCTTGACCGCAAGGCAGCGGGTTTGGCGTTGGGCTACAAGGAGTCCGTTTTAATGAATAAGGTGCCACCCTTTGGTGGTTCGGTGTTGCTCCTCCCAACCCTGAGACCCCAGGGTCTCAGGGTTGGGAGGAGCAACACCGAACCACCAATTCGGTTACGGTCCTTGTGATCGTAATGACCGAGGTCCACTTAGGACTGAGGTCTGAATAGAGATTGCGAGTCGCAATCCAACCACACAGCGAGTACACCAAATGCCACATGGAAGGTGCCACCCTCATTCCAGTCCCCAACCTGAAGGACCAGGAGGTTGAGTTTGGCTGGCCTCTAACCGTTGATCAATCTGGTATGAGTGGCTCCGAAGGTGCAAAAAGAAAGCACCACCCAGCATAGCTCAGTGGATCGCTGAGGCACACAAACCATCGCACCACGGTAAAGTCTAGCCTCATTGCGTTTAAAATATCCCGTCGCAGCCCGGCAACAAGTAACGTACTCCAAGGCAGTGTTCCGGGCCATTTACCATTCCACACGTGCAGCAATGATGCGAGAGTGCTATTTACCCATTGTTACCCATATTCACTCGTCTAGAATTTTATAGTTTTGTGAACGTTCGATCGTGTACTTCAGACGATTGGCTTTTGTAGCCTACAAACTGTCACAGGAATGCAGTGAAGTTTGAACGCTATACATTAAAAATGATCTCTGTTGCAATAGACAATGTTCTTTTTTTAATACCATTTTGATCCAGCGAAACCACCATCTTTGTTCAGGCGTTTAGTTTTGGCCCCGAGTTCAGTAACCTACAATTGTATTATTTAAATAATCGAAGCATCATTTTTGAGAAGCACTTTTCATCAAAAACTATTAAACGGTAACATTGTATGAATAATACCAAGATAACTTTCTCTACAAATTGGCAGATGTGTGCTACAAATTACTCGCGTCTATTGCATCTACATCATGTAGGTTTATCATGGCAAATAAATACAGCTTCTTCACACACATCTTTCCATAGGATATCTGTCAAGCGGTCTACTACCAGGTTAGAAGCACTGAGCCAAGCGAGTTCTTTTACACACACACACACACACAACCCCCCCACCAC